TAGAATCAATTAAATGTGGTATCTCCCCATCTCCACACTTTTATATTCCTACTTAGCATAGGAACTACATATTTTGCTTTGATTTCATAGAAGTTAATTTCAGGCCCTCTTTTCATCAAAGGCAATTTCAGCCTTTCAGATGCTTGCTAATATTTACTTTAGAAAGGAAAAAATATATATAGAGAGAGAGAGACTTGGAAGCCAATGCACTTTCCTTTTTTATGGGTTGCTTTATCAAATATTAAAGAATGAACAGAGAATACATTGTTTCAACAACTGAAACCCAATAAGGGTGGAGTATTTGTTCAGACTTCAGCAGTTATACCTACATCCAAGCTATCAAAGCCCCTGGAGTATCTTTTAAGGAATCTCTTTTGCTTTAAGCTGTGCATCAGTAGCTACCTTGGGTCAGTGAGAACCACACAAAGGAGGGTCTAGGACTATGTCTACAATGTCAGGCTTCTATCAGATTTACACGTTGGTGATGATGAATTTCATATGTTGGGCATCCGAATGGAGGCTACATGAGACTGTGGGAAAGGCAGGGGAAATTCATCATCACACAGCATTGTCAGACAGGATAAAAATGTGAAATCTTACCACAGGTTGTTTATTAGAAACACACCTACAATTTACATATACAAACAGAACAGTTTTCAGTAGAAGAAATGGGGGGAAAAGGTTTACCAGTCAAACATTGTGCAAAAGATGTCAGACAAAATTAACTTTAAAGAAAAGAGCATTACTTGATATTCTCCAAGAAGACAAAATTTAAAAAGGAAGTAATGTAATGTTTCAAGTGTCTCCTGTGAGCTGGGATTCTTTTCATTTTTATACTATTTTGTAAAGGCAAATGGATTTTTGTGTGTGTGTACTTTCTAAGTGGAATTAATTCCTACCTAGTAAGTTAATAGCGCTTCTTGTCAGAAACAGTGATATTTCATATGAACTCTTTTACTCTAATTTAGATAATCAAGTTTCAGTGGTCCCACATCCTTTCTCCATTTTCAGCATATAAATTATCAACATTACTCAAAATCTCAGTTTCCCTCTGTTATGTAATATGCCAAGGTGGCATGGGCCCAAGGAATAAAATCTTATTCTAATTGCCTACATGTTTACAGGATTAGTCAGTTAAATATGCCATCAAATATTTAGGGATACTGTTTTGTAACAAAAATAAACATTTATTTTATAGTATTGTGTTAAGCATTTTTTTAAAGAAAGAAAGTTAACATGGACATTGGATCAGCAACACCATCAGTCTAAGATAGCTAGCTGTTGCACTCTGTACTATTTCATGAGCCTAGGAATTTAGAATATTCTGACATGGCCCAAGCTGAGGGCTCCAGAGTTAGTTTTCTATTTTGTCATACAACAAATTAACATCCTGGGGTAATAACACAATTTTGAGCCCAAGGTGGTCAAAGCTGTGAGAGTCCGCTCCAAAGAACTACTGCCTTCACTGACTCTTGAGAAATCAAATTTAAATGAATGCATCATCTCCAAATCCATTCCTTGGAGACATATGGTGATAAGAAGGATGAAGATGATGATGATGATTTTTTGTATCAGGGAAGACTCACAAGACTGGGGCAACACCAAGAGAATGAAACACCACTTTTGAAAAAAGGAATACCTAAAGCATTAGCTATAACTTTTATCACCCTTACATTATATTTGTGAACTTCAAGACATTTTTGCTCAGAGATGGTTCTATAAATCAAGTTTCCTAAGTTTCCTTTGTTTTTAGTGATGTTCCTTTTCACCTGCTGTTTATTATGTATACCAACAATAAGATGAGATTTAAGGAAGTTATTTTTTCTTATTGCCCTGAGACCAACTTGGCATAAATTTAGGGATACTTTCTAGATTTAGAAATGGTTAGAAGTAAACTATAAAGGCATGAGGCCTGGGAGTAAGAGCAACTATATTTCCTCCTTTCATTAAAAACAAAAATATTCATTAAAATATTCATTTGGATTTTACTATAGAACTGTGCTAGTTAGTTATATAGTAAAATACAATGCTAATACCAACTGTGGTAGTGATTTATACAGATTTATTATAGATTTATAGAAAAATAAAAATGCTATTGAAGTTCTGCTATATTTACAATGCTACATTTATATACATGCACATATACCTCAATATTAATGATAAAATCTTATAGTTTTAAAGAGGCACATTTCCTCCCAGTCACCCATCTCTGTATACTCACAACCATAAGATAAGTTTTCATAAGCAATGTTTAGATTTGTGAAGGAAAAAAGTGAATATTTCCAATACCTAACCTCTTTCCTTTCTTCCTTTCCAGCTTTGGGACACAAAAGCACACAGAATTTTATGCACAAATTAAGGTTTATAAGACCTGTGATCTATATTCACATATACCCAATGAGTTGGCTGCAATTGGTCAGAAGAATTAGAGCAGAGTAATGTACTTGCATTGTAAAGCACTGAATAGAAGTGATCCTCTGCAGATGCACATAAACCCATGATATAAGAAGCATATTTCTTAAAAGTAGCATTTTAACTATCCTGTATAACCCTAAGAATGAATCACCAATGAATACTTTTATGGTGCAACTGTTGATCATAATTAACCAATAAAATCTCCCACCTAGCCAAAAACAACAACAACAAAAAAACAAGATGGAAAATAATATAAGCTAGTGATTGTGAAACAAGAAGGAATTCAAGATATGTAAATATCTTGAATGTTAATACCCAAAGGCAATGATTATAAGAGGATAACTGAACCTATCCATATTATTGAATACCTCTTAAAATTATGTAGCCCTGACTTCATGGGTACCTGAGACTTTGGCCTGCTCCCAAGAAAGTACTTGAGCCATAGTCTTTTATAGCAGAAAAGCAAAGAAAGACACTTCCAAGTGGGTATCTGTACTTCAATTTGCCAATAGGACTTCTCCTCTGTGACTATTTATATTCTTAATTCTCAATCAAGCCTAAAAAAAAAAAAATCAGTTCTCATCTTTTTGACATTGCTGAGTGATTTAAAAGTTGCAGGATATGAATACTAATATATCTAAAATGCTTATAAATAATCATCTTTTGGATGAAGGTAACAGCACACAGCCTTCTTAGGACTTATTTTGGTTTCAGGGCTTTGAAAAGAAAAGACTCTGGACCAGTAGGTCTTTCCACACCATTTTCTCAAGTTTACTTGACTATGAACCTTAGTCTGGTAAGGCCCAGTACCTCTTCCTCATCAGTTTTATTTGGCAACATGGTGACAACATGGTTTCAAGGGTAATTTCCAATTACACCAGATCTGTCAATTTTGAGTCATTGAGACTATACAAAATTGGATTTGGCTTCTTTTCAAGTTTCACACTCATCACATAATCGGGATATGAAGTTTCCCATACAGAGGAGGTAGCATCCAAAGGAAGGAATGTGCTTAAATAATACACACTACCCAATTTTACAGCTGTCCTTTTATATTCAAATGATATTAAGCATACTGTCATGTTAAATTGAAAACATTTTAGATCTAAAAATATACTGTTGAAACAAATGACATAGTGAGAAACAAGACCAAAATCTATTTTTATAAAATATAGTCTATAATTTCAGATAAAAAATGCTACATACAACCATACTTAGATATCTTCTAAATTATAATCTGAGATTTACATTTTTTAAAGTTTTCTCCAGTGAATTTCAAATTTAGTATTTTTAGAGTTTAAATCTCTATACTGAATCTTTATGTTTCTCTTTAAAACTGAATTGAGCAAAAATATAATTCTAAAACAAAATTCCTGACTTCAAAGAAATGTGTCTTCAGATAACCTTTCTCCTTAAAACATTAGAACCAATTCCCTTAAAACTATACTTCCTCTTTTTGACTGAGCATTAAGTAGAAAAATTCATGATTTGGACTTCATTTTTATTTTCTTCTGGTTTTTGTATCCCTTCATGCTATTTTGACATCACTATTACATTTTATCAAACCTTCTCTCAAAACAAGTTGCTCATTGTATGTTGCTCTCAAGTATGTTATTGAAATATATCCTAAAGGAAGAGATTAAGCTTCTTGCTTCAATTTCCCTTATGCACCAGTGATAATTTCAACCATAACAGTCGCCAGATTTGTACTTTTTATTCTGGATTCCTAATTATATAGGACAATTGAGGGTAATTCAAGAGAGTTTCAGAATCACATACTGCCAAGATTCTGGAAAACGTCTTTTGCAAAACAGAATGTTAATGCTCTGGGGACGCTATTGTACCTGCACCAACATGTTCTGAATGAGAAGGTAAAGGGCTAGGTTCATCATAACTAATACTGTAATGCCACTATGGGCTGACACTGTCAGTCAACAAATACTGAGATATTTTGTTTCAATTTTTAGTTACATAGATTTGTATATTGTAAATTTCTAAAGATAACTGGTATAAACTCAGAAGGATCAGTTCGATATATATTTAAATGTACGGTCTTGTACAGATCTTATGAAAGTACTACAGACCATGAGTGTCTGTATCTAAATGATTAGAGGAAATAATGTTAGAATAGTCTAAAATGAAAATAATTCAATAGATGCTTTAGTTCTTAAATATCTCTTTATTTTAAACTGAACTATTGTAGGGAGCTATAAATAAGATCAACTTTTGGTCTGTTTCACAAAATAGCAAGTTTTATCCTGTTATCATGCTTGATGCTTTAAAAACTCTTGACCTTATCCTCATCTACAATGAAATATTTTGGTATATTAATTTCTTTCTGGCTAAATCAGTAGTAGCCAGTTGTAATAACCAGCACGTGCACACACAAAGATGACAATAAAATAAAAAGGCCCAATAAAAAGTGTGTTAATAAAGTTCATTACAGAGAGGTGGCCCAGAAGGAAAGCCACGACTCCCTTTTCCATTTTATAAAATAGAGCACAAGTAGTATTTTGCAAGGCTACAAACTTGTACCATTTTTTGGTAGAAGTAGGATATTCGTTCTTTCTTTCTTTCTCCTTTCTTTCCCTTTTCTTTCTTTTTTTCATAAGCATCTACAAACTCTAAAGGTAGGCAAATAAGAACTATGAGACCAGTGAATTACTTTAAGCTACTTCTGCTATGCTAATCAGGTGACAGAAATCTGGGTTTCATATTAGGAGCCCTTCTAAATGGTTTAATTCCTTTACAGCTACCATTAGCTGTCAGCTTCACCATGGATATTGTCCATGTGCACTTTGAGGTAGTCATTCCTTGTAAACTTCTTATGGCAAAACTGGCATTCTGCCAGTGGACGATTGGGATTGTGAGTCATCTTGTGTCGGATCAGCATTTTCTTTAGGCTAAAAGCCAAGTCACAAACCTAGAAAAGACCCAAAGATACCAATCATATTATGCTGAAAAACCTGAAGATATGCCAATTTATCATTTATACAATATACATTATGCATCGTCCTATTATCAAGTATGTACTGATGGGCACAAAAACAAAAATTGCTCGAAATAAATGGAATTTAACATCCCAACTAAAGGGTAAAGAAAATTAATTACAGTTCCCCAAAGCTGTTTGCATTTAATGTGTGTGTCCTTTATACCCTAGCCACCCTCCCTCCCCATCTGCTACTGTATTTAAATATGTCTAGAAATATAACTCCTTAGGAACAATGTTTTTCTTCCCATGATGGAGTGTATTGACAATTTCATATTAAACATGTTAAACAAAAAGCCTAATGGCCCAGAGGGCATCGCTCCATATGACATAAATAGCACAAGACATGTCTTACCAGTGATCCCTTCGATTTAGTCCCATTTATGAAGTAAAAGGTTAACATTGCTTTAAGCACCCTACTAAGTGGAAGTTTTTTACCCACAACTCTAATTCTTGATTTCTTATTACATACACTCATTTAACTAAGTCATCTAACATGTTTACTTCATATAAGCTCTGCCACATTGACACCTGGCCCAACAGACATTAACATTCCAATAAAAATATTAAATTACCACAGAAGATGTAAGGTCTTCCTGCGTCAGTACTTTCTCACTTCTCCTGAGGTAGCTTCCTCTTACTGATTCCTCAGGGAAGCCTATATGATCTGTCTGCCAGAAGTGCTCTGTTAATTGCTTTCATAGTAGTTTTTACTTTTCCCTTTTAACACTTACCCTGAATATAATTACTTATTAGGTGATTTTTTTTTTTTTAAATCGCCTCCTTACTGGTCTAAGAAACATTAGGGTAAGAGTAGTCATTCCATAAATATTTGTTGACTTAAAGAAAGAAAGGTAGACAAGATGTTAGATAGATAGGTAAAAGTCTTATGAGCAATGTAAGTACATCAAAGGCTGTGGAATAATTCCAGAGATCGAAGAAGGTAACTATAGAGATTATTTTCAAGTAAAAGAAACTCTAAGTTTTCAAACGGCCTTACAAGTATAATCAAAATTTGTTATCATAAATAACACAGAATTATAATGTATCCCCTATTTTCTATTTCCCTGGTTCCTTCTCTAAGCCCCATGTAATGAACAATTAATGAACAATAGATACCAAATTCCTCACTGGCTTCCCACTGAAAGTAGATTCAAAATAAAAATTCCTTACCATGGTGAAAAGGTACATCAATTTGTTCTCCAACTTCATTTGCATCCCTTCTTTCTCACGATGCTCCAGCTGCACATGCCTTCTTACCGAATACCCAGACTCAGTTCCTTCCTACAGGCCATGATTTATACTGTTCCCTGAGCCTGGAATGTTCTCTTCCCTGTGGCTGACTCCTTCTCATCTTTTAGGTTACTTTGAGTTACTTTCTCAGAGAATTCTTTCTTAAGTATTCTTTTATGCCTCACCCTTCTCCTTTTTAAAATTGTTCTCAGTCTTTATCACAGAATGCAATTAGGTATTTATTCAGGTTTATTTGTTCAATGTCTATATCCCACAGGAATGTGAGTTCTGTGAGCAGAGGGGACATAGTGTCTAGTTCACTGTCTCAATTCAATGTCTGGCACAGGGACTAGGTTGAAGGGCTAACATCAGCTTTCATTATGTGCCAGGAACTACTCTTTGCAATTTATAAACACTAACTTATGATAGCCTCACCTCACCCTTTTAGGCAGATATTAGTACTCTGAACCTCATTTTACAGAAGGAAACTGACACAGTCACTTCAGTGTCTCAAGCTGGTTACCCAAGGTCACAGAACTAGGAAGTGGTTTCCAGGATTTAAACCCACGCAGTCTGGGTTCAGAGTTTTTACAACCCCAAGGACAGACTATTATTAAAGGCTCGAACTTCAAACAAAGATATGTGAGCTGACTGTACTTTTTCCATTTGCCTGGCTGACACCATTTTTAAGAAATAAAACCTCTTTGAAAAAATAAAGGAGGTTCTCAGTTCAGCCCATCAGTGTATTGTGAGGGATATAAGTCAAGTTCACTTACAGGGTCACCATGGGAAAATTACAGCAGCAGCAAGCTGAAGAAATGGAAAGGAAGTTGAGCAAGATCCTGAAGTCATTGATAATGGATCTGAATTAAGGAATCCTAGAAGCTCCACATAGGAGCTGTGATGAGAACAACCCAATGGATTTTTGAATGAGGGCCAGGTAGAGGATTAAGTATCAGCAGAGAGTAGCTGATGTCACAGTTGTGAAAGTGACTACCTACACATTAAAAGCTATGTTTTCATGAACTAAGAGATTTCAAACTGATGTTCTGTATAAATCAAACGCAAGGACATTCATGGTCATTTTAAAATTATGGGAAAGCATGAAAGAATTCAAATAGTGCAACAGGGATGCTTCCTTTTCTTTATTTCCACTTTAAGTTCTTAGCCAACCCATCCACCTACTCCAAATTAGTATTAATTCACCTGCCAAAGAATAGGAAAATGTTTTTTCTTTCTCTAGGCTGGCAATAAACTGATTTTGTTTTAAAATGAAGTGAAACAACACATTTATCAAAGTACCTTGAGAGATAATATTAGAATTCCATACAAACATCTTCAGTTAACGTTTATCAATAACATACAATGTTTCTTGCCACTTCAGTTAGAAAGAGAATGACAGAGAGTACTCTGTTCTGCCCTGTGGAATCCATAGTCTTAAAGAGAAATATTTTTTGATGCCATGAACATATCGCTAGGAGAAGGAACAGAGGAGAGGACAATCAAGTTTTCCTGGATGTATGGATGTTGTCATGTTGTAAGGTGGGGAATGATATCCCAGGGAGAAGGAAGAGAACATGCAAAGGTACAGGGGTATAAGAAGCAAGGCCTAGGTGGGGAGGTGAAAACATTTCACTAAGCCTGAAGAAACAGATTATTGGAGCAACAAATTGACATAAATAAGTAAGAGAAAAAACCTGATAAAGAAGTTAGAGTTGAAGGCTGGAGCCAAACTCTGGAGGTCCTGGTAATCATAATAAGACACTGGAAAGATCTTCTCCAAGTTGTGGGGATTCATTAAAGGATTCTGAACAGAGACTAAAACGAAAATATCATTTAGTACCAAGCTCAGAGTATGACACTGGAGTCAGCACAGCCAGTACTATGATTCTACTCTAAGCCAGAAATTACTTGGATATCAACTAAGATAGCACTTACTGTTTCACTGATTCATGCTTTTAAAAATATTCACTAAACGTTTCTTTATATGCCAGGCAATGTTCTAGGCCTGGGGACATGACAATGAACAAGAAAGAAAAAAGCTCTTTTGTCATGGAACTTACATAATAGATGATAAATAATTAAACCAACAAATATGTAATATTTCAGGTAGATGTAAGTGTCATGAAGGCGAAGAAGAATATGGTGTGAGGGTTAAGAAAGTAATGGAAATAAGGAAGAGAAGAATTTTAGCAGAGAATTGAAATAAGTACAGGAGAAGGTTATAAAGATACCCGAAAAGGATATTCCAGTCCAGGGAAGGAGCCAGAAAGAGAGAGAGAGAGAGAGAGAGAGAGAGAAAGAAAGAAAGAAAGAAAGAAAGAGAAAGAAAGGGGCCCTATTCATTGAAATATACTTAGTGTGTCTGAAACAGCAAGGAAGTGATGTGGCCAGAGTGAGTGGTGGTAGTGAAGTCAGAGAGGTAGGGGCAGAAGGGTGGGGGTGCAGATCCGTAGGGACTTTCAGATCGTGGTAGAACTTCGGTTTTCACTCTAAATGGGAAAGACAGTCATTGGAGGGTTTGAGCAAAGGAGTGAAATATAATACATATGCAATCTGCATCTAAAATATATAAAATCTGAATCAGGTTCTAGAGAGATCACTCTGTGTGGCAAGCTTAGGACAGACTGGGAGGAGCAAAGATCAAAGACAGATAAATTAAGGAACAACTGCATTACTGTAGGAGACTAAGATGTAGCTGGGGAGTTGTCAAAAGTGTTCTGATTCTCAACTTATTTTAAATGTACAGCCAATCGGATTTGCTAGTGGATTGGAGGTCAGAGGTGAGAAAAAGAGGAGAGCGAAAGTGGCAATGAAAATTTAAAGAAGATAATAAGTTTGAGAAATATATAGAAGGAAAGACTGTCAGGAGTTGCCGGGACTGAATGGGAGAGCTAGTTGGGTTTGGGCCCTAGAATCCTGACTTGGCCAGTTATAAGTGGTAGAGAATAGGTAGGTCACTCAACTTCAGTGAGCCTCATTTGCTTCGCAGAGGTGGAAATCACACCTGGGTACTTCTGGGGTACAGGGCAGATCAGTAAGAATATATATAAACTGGATCACTGTGTCTTTCTCACAATAGAAGCTCAACTAGATGATGCTATTGGTCACGGCTTAGGGAAAAAATGTCTGGCACAAGGCTCAGAACTTTGGTTTGGGTTATATGGAGATGGTGGGGCCCTCAGAAAGATGTACAGGTAAAGAAAACATGTTGAGTGACTGAGAAGGCTGGGGAGATACTGATTTCAGTCTGGAATATAGGAGAGATGTCTTCCAGGCAGCTTCAGAGTATCTGCCTAGAATTCAGAAGAGAAACCCAGGCGGGAGAAAGAGAGATTTGGAAGTCCTCACCATAGGGAGAGTAGCAAAGATACCAGAAGCTCAATACCTCTGGCACACTGGGGTTGCTGCACGGCATGGAACGACTGCATCTAAGGGGCTAGTGTTGATGAGTGAAGTGGCATTTGAGCAATATTATAAAGAACTGAGGTCAACATATATCAGTTTTTTTCTTTACAGTTTTGCTCAAATGCCACTCAAATGTCATACATGTGTGTTTTTTTTGTGTGTGCTTGTAAATGCCAGTCAGGAAGTGTGAACAAGAAATAAAGAGGACTTTCCAGGAGGAGGAAGTGGTGCATGATACCACATGGGACAAGGGACAGAGATGCAGAACAGCATCACTGCTTCAGGAGACTCAGAGTTCATACAAATAAAATGCAGACTACTGACAGATAAGAGATTATTAAAATTTTAGTAATAAGAATTGACAAAAACCAGAATAACTAACTTTTCAGTCAAGTAAGAAGGTGGATTTTACTCTATGGGTTGTGAGACACTGTCACAAAAAAGCGCATGATTAGGTTTACTTTGAGACAATCACACTGGGACATAAAAAGGATTTTAAGAGAATACTATGAACTGTATGCCAACAAGTTAGATAACTCAGATGAAATGAACAAGTTCCTAGAAGAACACAAATAATCAAAACTGATTCCAGAAACAGAAAAACTCCAGAGACCAGTAACAAGTAAAGAGATTATATAAAAAACAAATAAACAAGCAAGCAAACAAACAAAAAAACAAACCCACCAAACAAGAAAAAAACTTCCCAAAAAAGAAAAGTCTAGAACCAGACAGTTTCACAGATAAATTCCACCAAAAATATAAAGATGCATTAACAATAATCCCCTCAAATTCTCCCAAATAACAAAGAAGAGGGAATACTTCCTAATTTGTTCTGTGAGGCCAGCATTACCTTAATACCACAGCCAGGCAAAAATATTACAAGAAAAGAAAACTACAGGCCAATATACCTTTTGAATATAGATGCAAAAATCTTCAAACAAACAAAAAACAAAAAAACAAAAACTCTAACAGGCCATATTCAAAGTCATGACCAAACAGATTTATCCAGACCGCAACAGTTGATCAACATAAGAAAATCAAACAATGTAATACACCACTTTAACAATACAAAAGATAAAAAAAATTATCATCTCTGTTGATGAAGGAAAGCCTTTGACAAAATCCAACATCCTGTCTTGATAAAAATATTGAAAACTAGGAAAGAAGGGAGCTTCTTCAACATAGTAAAGGGCATTTATAAAAAATTCACAGCTAACATCACATTGAATGGTGAAAAACTAGAAACTAATGCAAAAGAATGGACCCCTACTTCACACTACATTCAAAAATTAAACAGATCAAAGACCTAAATGTAAGACTTAAAACTATCAAACTTAGAAAGAAACAGGAGAGTAAATCTTCATAACCTTGAAATTGACAAGTCTTAGATCTGTCACCAAAAGCATGTTGAGAAAAAGGAAAAAAACAAACAAACAAAAAAAAACAAATAAATTGGATTTCAACATTGAAAAAAATTTTTTTAAGATTTTATTTTTTTTTTAAGTGATCTCTGCATCCAACGTAGGGCTCAAACTTACAACTGCCAGATAAAGAGTTGCATGCTCGACCAACTGAGCCAGCCAGGCACCCCCAATATTGAAAAGTTTTGTGCATCAAAGGATATTATTAAAAAAGTGAAAGATAACTTATGGAATGTAAGAAAATGTCTAGTATCTAGAAAATACAAAGAATACTTACATTCAGCAACAAAAAGACAAATAACAAAATTTTTAAATGGGAAGAAGACTTGAATAGATATTTCTCCAGAGAAGATACAAATGCCAACAAACAAGTATATAGAAAGATGCTCAATATTATTAATCCTTTAGGAACTTTAAATCAAAGCCACAATGAGATATCACTTCACACGCCCTAAGTAGACTATAATTTGAAAAAACAGAAAATTACAAGCGTTGACAAAGACATGGAAAAACTGGTATTCTCAGGCATTGCTAATGGGAATGTAAAATGGTGTAGCTAGTATGAAAAACAATACAGATGTTCTTTGAAAAATCGAACAGAATCACCATTTGACACAGCAATTCTACTCCTAGGTATATGGCCCAGAGGAATTAAAACAGGTACTTAAATACCTGTAGGCACATGTTTGTCTCAGAGCAATTCACAACAGCCAAAAGGGAGAAACAACCCAAATGTGCATCAATTATGAATAAACAAGTTGTGATATATACATACAATGGAATACCATTCAGGGAGTGATGTACTGATACAAGCTACAAAGTAGATAAACCCTGAAAACATTATGCTAAGTAAAAGAAGTCAGTCACCAAAGTCACATCCTATATGATTCATTTACATGAAATATCCATAACAGGTCATCTATTGAAATGAAAGAAGATTGGTCCTTATCAGGGTCTGTGGAGAGTAGGGAATATCTCCTTAGTGGGTACAGAATTTTATTTTGGGACATTGATGTCTGGGAATGAGATAGAGCACAATGAGATAGAACACAATGTGATGGTGGCACAACATTGTTAATGTACTCAATGCCAATGAATTGTTCACTTTAAAATTATTGATTTTATGTTATGTGAATTTTATCTCAAGTTAAAAAAATTACGTTGGCTGGGTGGAGAACACAGGGAGGGTGCAGGTTACGCACTGCTAGTGGGACTGGAAACTGAGAGGAATTAATAGATTTGAGTGTTATTTAGGAAAAAGAAAGATGGGAAATGGGTGAGAAAGGATGACTTCTATCCAAAATGAGTAGGTTAAGAGGGTAAGATTTTGGAACAAAGATAGCCTCTATTGAGCAGGCTGCATTTCAGGGAGGTTCTGGAGGCCCTCAATCTCTATTCAGTGGACCAGTCTGAGCCACAAATAAGAACCAGAGACTTCTGAAAAAAGCATAGAAATAGATGAGATAGAAGTAAATTGAAAAAAATAATGCTTGTAACATAACAGTGTTTTTTTTTTTTTTTAATAACATCATGGTCTCGTTTACCTTAGGAAGTAGTTGACAAAAAATATTGAGCATAAAATGAAAGTTGAGTTGAATGTGATGGTAGGAAGGTGTCTGTATATAGTTAATATTTAATTTCTATGCCCCATCAGTTATTTGTGTAGCTGTACAATTAAGTAATCTAAACAGGTTTTGCCTATATGAAAATGTTTCCAATAAAAGCACTAATGAATTAAACCAACTGAAATTATGAAGCTGGGGCTATACCTCCGGTTCAGGATAGAGCTACATGTGTACATTTCTTTCTTTGCAAGTACTTCTTGCCTTAAAGAATTTCACTGTTCATACAGGTATTTTTATGAGTAGGCCCACTGGGAGTACATTGTTGCCTTAACCTTACCACCAAAGTTTCATGGATGGACAAGGAAAACATCTTGCGTTTGTGAGTTTCCTTTCATGTGGACTGCTTACACCGTACTTTATCCGTTGGAATATGCTAATGGGACGAAGTCTTCGAGTTTCCCTCCACATTTAAAGAGAATTCTCTACTGTGCAATTTCACACACTACAACTTTAATGTTCCTTCTTCTACTTAGGTACATTAATGCTCTTCTTGCTATTTTTGTGTTAGAAATAAGCATCCAAGTGTTTTCCCTAAAGCCTGTGTCAATCTTCCGTCGGCTGTCAATCTTATACAGAATTGTGATGCTGTTTATTGAGAAACCAATATTTTCCCTTAATTAGTTAACACTCAGATTCATTTTACTGATGGTGGTAGTATTTTTCCTTTCATAAATAGTGTAAACAACTGTGTTTATAATTTCATTTCAATTCAAATGTCATTAGCAGAAAATCTAAACAATTAGCAACATTATTGAAACAAGGGAGTTTGTTCATGTTTTAGAAATTGATGGTTAGGCTGTAATGAAATAAACAGTATCTATGACCAGTTGAATCTCTGATTTAAGTATCATGAACCTATCAAAGTTCTGGGTAGACACATGAAAGCTGCCTTGAATCATCACACACTTATATCTTGAAAGAACAACTCAATTGCATTAAAAAAGGATGCAAGCGTGCCTTAAAGAAAATCAGAGTTTATTTGCTGCCAGCAAACTAGGATGAACAAAACAACTCCATAGTGGTTACATGGATTATGCAATCAAAATATACCAGCAGCACAAGATCTCAACAGAAAGACCAGCCTGCAAAACATACATACACACTCATACATACACACATCATGCGTAGACACACACACACACACACACACACACACTCTTCCAGCACATCTGTTGCTGGAGGACACTGGGGAAAGAAAAGAGAAACCAAACTCACGTCACACTGAAAAGGCTTTTCTCCAGTGTGCGTCCTCTTGTGCTCATCCAGGCCTCGCTTCTGGCTGAAGGCTTTGCTGCACTCTGAGCACTTGTATGGCTTCTCCTGCAATCAATGGAAAGAGATCACCATGAATCTGAGTGAACTTAGAGAGCCTTCCCTACTAAGGTATGCTGGCGGTGGGGTGGTATTTTATCTAGTTCTATAGGGTGCCGCAGCAAATCCAGAGGGGTACCATGAGTTATTTTAAATGCTCGTGAGGAACAGCACTACTCAACCTCTGCTGGACAAACCGAACTACTTGCTCATGGCAGTTCACAGTTCCAGCATGAGACTGTGGGACATTTCTTTTAATTACATCATACCTTTGCAAGGCTGGGTTCTGAATGATCGACATGATCTAACTACTAAAACAACTGAACTCTTAGGTTTTCTTCTGGTTTGGTGGGCCGCAAAATTTCACTGAGATACTAAGGGTGTCATGGACCAAGAAAGTTTGCAACCCCTAAACTAGATGGTGATAGATAGATAGATGCCTCTATCTCAGAGGCATTCCCGGGAATGAAAACTTCAGGACAACATTGTCATCAGATTTTGGGGGTAAGTTTAAGAAGATGTGAGAGATATATCTATATCTATATCTATATCTATATCTATATCTATATCTATAGATATAGATATAGATATATTATGTAGCCATCAAAAAATGAAATCTCGCCATTTGCAATGATATATATATAAAATGCAGCCATCAAAAAATGAAATCTTGCCATTTGCAATGATGCAGATGGAACTAGAGGGCATTATGGTAAGTGAAATCAGTCAATAAGAGAAAAGACAATTATCATATGATCTCACGGATATCAGGAATTTGAGAAACAAGACAGAGGATCATAGGGGAAAGGAGGGAAAAACGAAACAAGACAAAACCAGAGAAGGAGACAAACCATAAAAGACTCTTAATCTCAGGATTCCCCTATATTTTCTTACATGTTTTAGATTGATGATTTCCCTCCCTGTATTATCACAGAAGTTATGAGCACTATTTCTCTTAGTGGTTATCCTTAACAAATCTACCATATACATTTAACACAATTTAAAATTTATCCTACTGAATAACAAGTCCTGAAGAATGCTCCTGTCTTACATGTTATGTGTAGCAGTATTTTATTTGTGTCTTGATTTTTAATCCTGATACGGAATCATTATTACTTTACATACCAATGTGGTTTAGATTTATACATGCTTAACAATTTCTTCACTTCTCATCCGTTCTTATCTGACTTTGAGAGGATCTGATGATGGTAAATTCTGTTTTTATTGGATTGAAAATGAATTTCTCATTTGTTATTAAATGAAAGTCTAGAAATCCAATTAGGTGTATAACAGACTCTATTTTTCATGTCTCTTAACCATTTCCATCTCTTTGTATTGGGCCACATGTAATTTCTTTAGATTTAGTTGATCAATTATCTTCAGGTATGAATAACTTGTTAATAGTTTCATTTGAGTTTTTAATTTATATTATATTTTAAACTTTTGTAAATTATTTCTTTTCAATTATGCTTAATTTTTGACAAAATCTTATTTTTTACTCATTTGCTTATGTCTATGTCAAAATATTCTAGACATTTGTATAATTTGCCTCATCTGATAAATCATTATCTTAAGTTTTTTGGAAATTTAATTCTGCTATTTGTGGTTTCTCCTGTCTCCTGCTCATGGCTCTTGTTTCCTTGGGTGTTTTTGGAATTTGGAATCATGGGCTCATGTTTGGTGGTCTTTATCTGTTAAAATTCTGTGACCCCTAGGTTGAGGGTAAGTCCCTCCAGACAGCATTTTTGTTTGCTTCTGCCAGGCATTCTGGGATGCTATCAATCAAAGACCATTTTAAGTTTATTTCATGCCTTAGGGTTTTCTGGTCAGGGAAGCATTTTAAGTCTGAACTCTAAACACACTTGAGGGAAAGACTGTGGTTACGAACTCTAAGGAGAACTCTTTCTCTAGCCAGCAATTACTCTGAGACAATTAAATGTACAAGGCACGTCCATTTGCCAAGGTAGATTATTTCCAGTTCCTGATTTCATTTTGAGTATCATTTTTCTAGGGTCCCAGCACTGTGGTGGGATGTGGTTCCATCTTGCCCTATAACCTAAGCCTAGAGCTTGCTTCCTTTTCCATCACCATTAAAAACTGAAACTTGAGTTTACAAATACCGGCAAACACCCCAAAGGTGTTCTCATTCTCAACCTCACCTTATCACTCTGGCATGTGGCTGTAGTTTGCTCTGTTGGATCCTGGGGATTACTGTTACCTCCCCCGCCACACACACAAGCTCAGATATTTCCTATTTGCTTTAATATATCCAGCAAGGATAGGTGTTTTGTATAGGGCCTCTATATTTTATTTTATTTATTTTTTTTTTTTTAAGATTTTATTTATTTATTTGACAGAGAGAGATCACAAGTAGACGGAGAGGCAGGCAGAGAGAGAGAGGAGGAAGCAGGCTTCTTGCTGAGCAGAGAGCCCGATGTGGGACTCGATCCCAGGACCCTGAGATCATGACCTGAGCCGAAGGCAGCGGCTTAACCCACTGAGCCACCCAGGCGCCCGAGGGCCTCTATATTTTAAACGACTGTTCAAAGTTAACAGAAAAACACGACATTTTCTTGGCAGTCCAAAAAATATGTTTACTGCTTTTTTCATCTTGTCTAAATCAACACAATCTTTTTTCACATATTGCATGGTTTTTGGTGCCTATTATTTCTTCAAATATTGCCCAGGGTTTTTTTTTTTTAAGAAAAACTTGAAAATGTAACTGTAAGTATTTAAACCAGAAACTTCCTGGAGTTCCTGGGACTTGTATTATATCCAAACATTTTACTTAAACTTATATTTTAAAAACATATAAAGATATATCAATATGATGTATATGAAAAGAAAAAAAAGGAAAGCTCTTCTCCCTAACCACAATTTACCCACAGAACAAGATCTTGTAAAGAAGTAAGAGGCACATCACTGTGGCAACTGCAATGACAGGTAAGTATCTGTCAGAAAACAACCCAAGACAGGACCAATTATCGGGATGACATCCTAAGAGAGTGACGCGAAGTTTCCAGGAGAAAAAGGCAGTGAAAAACAAGGTCTGAGCATCACTGATTAAGAACATTCTTCTCATTCATTCCTAAATTTCCTCTTAGCAGGTACTGTGTGCGTAAGCACCCTACAGTGCCCCATGGGTGTTGAGAAAGGTTCTGAGCTAGCATATGGAGATTCTGGCAAGACAAGGGTTTTGCAGTTATCACAAGTTTTCAAAAACTCAAATGTGTATTATGCATTGGCTCGGATTGAATAAGTAACATTTACACACACACACACACACACACACACACACACACACACACACACTCACCCCCTCATATATTAGTATTTTTCAAATTGGTCTTTGTCAAATAATCACTGTTGATTATTTTAATACACTTTATTTACAAATGCCACTGAAATTATATTACCTTCACTTAATCATTTTCACCTATAAAAGAACAATCATGTGCTTCTATGTGTGTGTTGGCAGGGAGGTGGAGTTGAAATTTATAATGTTAGGTTCCTCTAATTTCAAAAAATTGAGAATTATAGTTGGAAAAGGGACCCATTTGATCAAGTAGTTCTGGGTCTGCCTGGATTCACTCTTTTCTACCAGGAACCATTTGAAGCCAAAGATTCCCTTGGATTTTGTCCTAAGATTATTAGCTCACAAAGGACTTTGTAATCACACTTATACGTCAGTCTGGAAAGAAAGGTTCTTTAAGTCCTTAGGCCGTAGCAAGTATAGTAGGAAGAACCCATGATTGCCTTTCATATGTCTGTCCATCTCTTTTATCCCCAAGTCTTAAACAATCTGTAGTTTTCCTGAAGATAGTGCAAGGACGGTTATAATTCCTGACAGAGTTGGTGAGAATGCCATATACCGCTTCTTGGAAAGAACTTTAATGCCCACCCTTGAAAACATTCCATTTTTTTTTTTTAAGATTTTACTTATTTATTTAGAGAGATAGAGAGCATGTGTGCCTGCAAGTGTGTGAGAGCAAGTGGGAGGAGGGGCAGAGGAAGAGAGAATCACAAGCAGACTCTGTGCTGAGCATCTGAACCTGATGCAGGGCTCAGTCCCACGAACCTGACATCATGACCTGAGCTGAAATCAAGAGTCAGACACTTAACCAACTGAGCCACTCAGGCATTCCTGAAAAGATTCCAATTTACAGAGAATGGTACCAAAGCAAGTGTGAGGGAATTCCTGACCCAGTAACCAGCATTTATACCAAAGGCAGAGCCAGATGATCACCGGTCACTCATTTCAAATTTAAGAAAACCAAATGAACAGAAATAGGAAGAAGAAAAAAAGTGCATTTTATTTTTCAGAAAAAGAGAAACAAAACCAAACCCTCATCCCCCTTCTTTATTAATTTCTTCCCAATTATTCCTGGTCTGCCATATGAAAGAAATACCACCTCTCCTAAGGTAAACATAGTTGGGCACAGAGAGAAAGCTGAGTGGTACAAAGACACCTAAACCTGTTCTTCTTCTCTTTTTCTCTGGGAATTGTGAAAAAAATCTATGTCACCTCTAGAGCATTCCTAAATATTCCTACCCCTAACTTCTCAGTCTAGAAGAATCCACGCTTGTGTGCAAGGAAGGAAGAGAACTTCAGTCTCTAATCTTCGCTGTCTGCCCTTACTATAAGGTTCACTGAGGATGACAGGGACTAGATAGCTACGTAGTGGTTGATGCAGCAAGAGACCATGTGACACAGAAAGCTTAAGAAATCTTTGAGTTCTTATAGTCAGGTTAGGCAGCAGAGGTAAGGCTGAGGTACCTGCCACCTTCCCAAGTACACACTGTTCCACAATCTACAGGCTGGTGTGGCTGAAGTGTTTAAGCAAGTTCGGAAAGCAATGGACTTCCAAAGGCCCCGTTGCTCCTCCCCCGCGAAGAACCCATACACTAGCAGCATTTTAACATTAACCATCTCCTAACTCCACTAATTCTCTTCCTCCATCTCTCCCTCCATTACAAAAATCTTTAATATGGGCACAAAATCTGATTCA